CCAGGTGTGTGGCAGGCACCTGTAGTCCCAGCTACTTGGGAGGCTGAGGCAAGAGAATCACTTAAGCCCAAGAGTTTGAGGTTGCTGTGAACTGTGATGTCACAGCACTCTACCCAGGATGACAGCTTGAGACTCTGTCTCAAAAAAAAAGAAAGAAAGAAAGCTAGAGATAATTTAAAGGGAGGATATACTTAGACTATATTCAAATACTGCAGCATTTTGAGTCAGAGACTTAAGCATCCGTTGATTTTGGTACACTAGAAGGGTCCTGGAACCAAATCTTCCACAGAACTGAGAGACAACTATAGATTTCTTCATAGTGAATAAGACAGTGTCTACTTTAAACCACTCTCTGAAGAAGCTTCTTAGCAGTTATTCCAGACACAATGATAAAATCTGGAACTGTAGAACTAGAGACTAAATCTTGGACCAGTATGATCCCAATTATAAGGGAAGTGTGATCCATATCCAAAAATGGAACCCAGCTTCAACCCAAATTTCACTTTAGCCAACAGGTTTTCCATTCCTCCTCCAACGAAATGTATTTTTTCTCAGAGCTAACAGGTAACTTAATCTAGTGATGCAAATGTCTTTCCCTTCCATTATCTGATAGTTGTCCATATGATCATTACAACCACCAAAATTAGAAAACAGGAGAGGGAAAATGAGTGAAAGGGGTTGGCAGGGTGGAATGGGCTAGGTAATTCACAAACTGAGGCCACAACAAATGCCTAGTTAACATAAATTAAAGAGGACTGTTACAATGTCATCTCATTTTCAATACAATGGCCAAAGAAGTCACTAAAGCCACCACAACAAAATGTAAAACTAACTTTTTAAAAGAAATTATTTCAGGCTGGCCACGGTGGCTCATGCCTGTAATCCTAGCACTGTGGGAGGACAAGGCAGGCGGATTGCTTGAGCCCACAAGTTCAAAACCAGCCTGAACAAAAGCAAGACCCCACCTCTACTAAAAATAGAAAAACTGAGGCAAGAGGATCTCTTGAGCTCAAGAGGTGGAGGTTGCTGTGAGCAATGACACCATAGCACTCTACTGAGGACAATAGCTTAAGACTTTGTCTCAAAAAAAAGAGAAATTATTTCAGGATCCAGGATTCTCAACACCAACAGCAGTTAATGAAGTTTACAAGCCAGCAGTTACTAGTTCTCATTAAGAATTAACTAATGTTTGCCAGGCGCGGTAGCTCATGCCTGTAATCCTACTACTCTGGGAGGCCAAGGCAGGTAGATTGCCTGAGCTCACAGGTTCAAGACTAATCTGAGACAGAGCAAGACCTCATCTCTAAAAATAGGTGGGCTTTGTGGCAGCCACCTATAGTCCCAGCTACTTGGGAGTCTGAGGCAAGAGAATCACTTAAGCCCAGGAGTTTCAGGTTGCTGTGAGCTATGATGCCACAGCACTCTACTGATGGTGACAAAGTGAGACTGTCTCCAAAAAACCAAACAAACAAAAAAAAGAATTAACTGATGTTTCATTACCAGATCCCCAGTAAGGCTAGGGATAACAAGCAACAGAAAATTTGGAGGAAAAAGTGATGAATCATCAACCTCTCTCTTACATATCCTATATTTTATTAGAATATAAGTATAAGGGTAATATGAGAAATGACGGGGGTGGCGATACTAATCAGCAAAATGGCATCTCATTCCCAAATGTAAAAATGCTCATTCCAGTGGGTTATTTCACTGTGACTCAAGATTTGTCAACTAAGGACAAAGGGGATTTGAGTAAAGACCAGATACATTCCTAAATTTTAAATCGAATCTTCCAACAGATCTAGAACAAGATGTCAAAAGAATTAACCTATAAGAAATTAACTTACTCAACATAAATTGATTCTAAAGTACTTTTTTAATGAATTCATACTAATCCAAAAATTCAGGAAAGAAGTCTAGGGACCTGCTTTCCTAATGAGAAATTCTATTTGTCAACTGGAAAAGGTCAGTAAAACAAACTAGTGAGCATCTAAATCAATATATCGTTCCCCTTTTCTTCTTATATAATCTCATTTTTCTAAAATAAAAAGTAATTAAGTAAAAGTATAGATTAAGCAGGAATTTCATTTCTCAGATAAAAAGAAATGCATTTGAATCTTTTATAGTATATGTCCAACATAATATACGGCAAACAACCCTGGCAAATCCATGGCATTATGAACAGAAATAAATAGTACCCTTTGAAATATAACTGGTTCTTCCCAACCAAAGAGAAAAGAATTTTCCTCGCTCCTCCAATTATCTGCCAAAGAATTAAAACATAAAATAAGGAAACTAAATATTTATAAAAGCTTGTATCTATATAAGGTCAAGTACCAGCATTTCACTAATTAAGTTTTCCTATCCTACTGACTTCTAATTGTATCAAATCACGAATCTTTGAGGGCACAGAAAACAAAGACTAATTGATTCTGCCCATTTACAACAATCATATTTCACTTCTAGAAGTATAATCACCAGAGAGGCAACAAATTCATCGAATTCCCCTTCTTTCCACTAATTAATTGGATCATGCACTACAGCCAAAATCTGCTAGATTCTGCCACTACACATACATTAGGCCTCACACGCACTCCACAATCCAAGGCTAGGCTGTCTAGAAATCCGCACTGTGTCACTGCATAAGGCAGTTTCCCACTGCACACATCCAGGAAGAAGGAAGCCACCTAAGCACTCTGTGAGATCTCAACAAGACTGCAAAATCACAGGAGTTGCTAACCAAATAGCACGCAGCAACAATCATCACCTTTAAAAATCATTTAAGCAGTTTTCCTCTCCGCCATCTCACCTCCCTCCTCCTCCTCCTCTCCTCTTTCTCCCATCTCTCTATCTTTCTCTTTCTGCAGTTCATCCCCAGCTTTGCGAGTCAAAGGCTGTGAGCGCTGGACTGACAGCTGGCCCAGAACTCATTCAGAGTCCTGAAATACAAGACATTCTCACCTGAACACACCAGGCCACTTCCACCCCCACCATCACCTTCGCCCGCACCCGACACACATCCACACACCCTCAAAACCGCTCCCCACAGCAATATCCAAGCTATAGAACACCTCGCAGACTCAATCAGCAAGAGGAGCACGCGTTACCATTTAAAGATGAGTTGGGCGGCCTAAGCTCCAGAAACCTCCCAGACACAGACCACCCCCAAGGTGCAGCCAGGCGGCTGGACCTCTTGCCCACCGGGAGCGATGCGCTACCTTTAGACTGGCAGTCCGCACAAAACTTGTTATCCTCCTCCAGCAGCAGGTTAGCCAGGACCGCCTGGTACCGATCCACGTCCTTCACCGACTTGCCGGTCATGGCCAGGGTGCCGGCGGGGGCAGAAGGCGCGTCGCCTCCTTGCCCCCAGAAACCCCTGCCTCAGACTGCGGTGAGGACACCGGGTCCCCCGCCCAGGGGCACCTCCTGAGCGGGGGAGAGCGCGCTCCTCCCGCCCCGCCAGGCGCCCCTGCTTCTGTCAGCCGCGCCCGCCCCCCACTCCGCAGCCCCTCAGCGCGGCGCCCCCTGGCGGGCTCAGCGAAAGGCCCAAGTCCAGAGGAGCAGCTGGACCAGGGACCCTCGGCCCAGACAAAGGGAGCCCTCGGGCCTCCTGGGTGCTGGACGCAGAAATAACCTCCGAGCCTGTCTGTCTGCGGGTCGTGCCTCCCGCGCCGCGGTTTCCCTGGCAGCTGCTGCCTGCAGGGCCACCACCTCCGCAGCCTACTTCCGGCAGCTCTTCCTCTCCACCTCCGCCCAGTTCGGCCCGCGCATGCGCCCCGCCCCCACCGCGCCGCGCTGGGCTCTAACCTCGGCTCCGCCTCTCAGGAACCAATTCGGGTAGAAACGGAGGCGGGGTTTGAGGTGGGGGCGGAGGGAGGATGGGCACGCCCCCTGCGTGTCCTTGGAAAAGAATGAATGGGGCCGGGCAGAAAGGGAGTGGAAGGAATGGAAGAAAGTGAAGGAAAACAACTAATATTTACTGAGCTCTTACTATGCACCAGGCACTGTGCTAAGCGCTTTACATGAATTATCCCAATATAATCCTCACAACTCTGGGTTCGGCACTTATCATCTTTACGTAACCTGAGAGTTGTGGATGCTTCAAAGTCCCCCCTCCAGCTTATTTTTCCTTCCAACAGTCAAATAGAATGGATTAATCCCATAACCCAGGATAAAGGGACGTCACACCCTCCTCAAGTTTTCAGAGGATTCTGGCTCCCACCGATATTCATAGCTTTCCTCTTGAGACTGTGGACTTCTTTGGACATTGTTCGGAATGGGTGCCTAGATAGTTTGTTTCTTCTTTCATTCCTTAAATCCTCACAAAACAATGAGTTTTGAGTAGCAGAATTTTTCTGACAGTTACTTTGGGGGGAGTGATTACAGCATAGCACAGAACAGGGAACTACTTAGAAATAATTATTAAACATCTTTGTCCTCCTATCTGTCCATGGATCTAAAACAACAAAATCATTGTCCACAGCCACCCTTGCTACAGAGGATTTCTCAGTGGCTGTCCTTTTCTTTAGAGATCTACCTGCCATCTGGCTTGTATTTTCATTCATTCATTCACTGAGTAAATTGTTAACAGAGAAACTTCTAAGTATCGGCACTGTACTGGGGGAGAGGGTAACAATATGATGCAATGTGTGGTTTTAAAGCATCCTCTGGGAAGGCACTCGGAGTTATCTCTAGTGAAACCCTCTCCTCCATCTCTTTACTTTCTCCCAAGACCAGACTCCACTCACTACTTTCATCTCATAGGTTCAATTCTCTATCCAAATCTCATCTTTCTAGCCATGCCTGAGAGGCTTCACTTTCATGAACACACAAGTTCATTAAGGTGTATTTTCTGAGGAAAACTCTTCAAAATAGGTATTACCACATCCATTTTCTAGTTGATAAAACAGAGGATCAAAATTACCCAGTAATCATGATCATTGTGCCTTAGTTCAAGCCCTCTTCATCGTCATCCCTTCACTCTGAAAATAGTCTTCCTGCCTTAGTCTAAATCTAGATAAATTAGTCCTTTACCCTGCTCTTTAGAGAGAGCTTTTAAATAGCAAATCTGATTGAATCATACTCCACTGCTTAAAAATCATTTAGTGTCTCTCCATTACCTATGACAGTGCTTGTCAAATGTTTCCATCTAGGAAGAGATTACATGTTCTGGTGGTTAAGCACACAGACTGTGGGGCCAGAATGTCTGGGTTTAAATCCTCAGCTTAACCACTTACTGTCTGTGATTTTGGATTACTTAACCTCTCTGTGCCTCAGTTATTTCATCTATAAAATGGGAGTGATTATGTTAATAGTACCTATATCATAAGATTGTTTCCAGTCTTAATTAAGATAATGCCTGTAGTATACAACTCTTGGAACATAGCAAATAATAGACAATTAATACTGTTCACTAAATATTCATGGTTTTTGCCTCTGAACACCTGCTAAGATTTTATTTCCTGGCCTTCATGTGGTTGGGAATGGACAATGAGTTTGAACAGAAAAGATGTGTCACTTTATGTCTGAAGCATTTATCTGCTGCTTTGAGACTTCTGATTCTCTTTCCCTCTGGCATGTCAACCATCAGCATTCAAAGATATTGGTTGCTCTGTTAGTCTGGATGCCTGAGTAGCTGATAAGCAAGAGCCCTCTGCCAGCCCATAAAGGATATGTAACATGAGCAAGGAATGAGCAGTCTGGTACACTGACTCATGCCTGTAATCCTAGCACTGTGGGAGGCTGAGGCGGGAGGATTACTTGGGGCCAGGAGTGGGAGAGCAAGAAATAAGCATTCTTTGTGTTAAGTCACTGATTTTTATTTATTTACCATAGCACAACCTAGCCTATCCTAACTGATACATTGGCCAATAGCTCTTTTCACTACGTATTATCATCACTAATAGCAGAGAAAGTGAATGCATGTCCCAGGTCTAAGGGTATGGACAAAGCAAAACTTTTCTTTTCTTTTTTTTTTTTTTTTTTGAGACAGAGCCTCAAGCTGTCCCCCTGGGCAGAGTGCC